ACGACCTGTCGTGCCGTCTGTAGTCCAACCTAGGTAAGCCTGTACGGTATCTCGAATGCCCATCCGAGTGATGTAGAATAGATGGCCCGTAGCAACCAGTATGAAGATGTAGTTGTCGTTACAGACCATGTCGATCTTACGAGTGTAACACGCTGCCAATCTGGGCAGCCCAAGGACCTCCGAGGAAACCCCGGGCCGCCCTGCTGATCCCGCCAAGTCATAGATAATCAACTTGCGGTTATCCTCACACAATACGAATAGTTGTGAGTTATGATAATAATAGGCAGCCGTGGTAGTGCCATGATAGCCTGGCTGTAGTACCATAACCTCCTCCCCACATTCTAATGGTTTCCTAATATATACACCAGTAGGGGTTGGATACACACCACAGAGTTCCTCATTCATAACGAATATGTATGCTGGTGGTGGACACAACACTAATTCCCCTTCTGGAGCTGACAGGAGCCACAGAGTTCTCTTCAAGTTCGCACAGAAATCCCCGAGCATGTCCGACGTCTCACTGTTCATACCGCGCCTGCTTAGCATCTCTTCAAAGAGACTGATCTCCAGGGCCATGGCATGTGCAGGAGTTTTCATTCAGATGACAACCACTCAACTACCAAAGCTTAGAAAACTACGAGCTGGGTCCCAAAATGCTGAGGTGTTAAGGCTCTTCACATAATTTCCGACTCCTTTGTGATGCTCGATATAAATTACCCAAGTGCAGAATTTGCACGACATTGAGGGACAGAATTACGCACGATATACAAGGTCGAATTATAGGGAGAGTGAACGGGCTTGAGAGGAATTTAGAGTGAGAGGTGATTCAAACGAGTGAACTTCATACGTGGGGGTGATTCTGCTGACGTGGGATCATATTATTGAGAATTGTAGACAAAATGTGAGTGTGAATATTTCACGCACGATTATACTGAACTTAAATAAAAGTATCAATAAGAGTATCAGTGCTGTTCCCTCCGCCTCTACATTTCCCATTCCTTGGCACCACTGAGTTTAGAACAGAAAATCATCACTTCTTTTTTCCTCGTCAAGATATCGAATTAACAAGTTCCTCGCCCTCATTAATTGACTTTCACCGATAATCTGGGTCATGTTCAGTTCATAATTTACTTGCCGCAGCATATGTTTTGGGAGGAGAACTGTGTGTTGCTTGCTGGTTCGAACCTCTCTCCCCCTTACTCGTAATCCTCCACTATCGTACATCACGCACAATACAGCTGTGTTGAGGTCTAGCCTAGCTACCATGCCAATACAATGATATAAGTTGGGATGGTATAGTAGTGACCAATATATTGTTCTCAGTCTAATGACTCTCACTCGTATTATTATTACTAATAAAATGTCGGATCTCCAAGGCTTGATGCTTAGATGGATACTGGAGAGTCTAGGCCTGGTATATGTGGTCGTAGTGTTCGAATTTCCTGGCGAGTGAGAACATTCCCCCTGCACATTGTTTTTTCATTTGTCTCCCATAGTTGTAGAATTTCTATAAATTCATTCATTTCGTGAATCAGTTGATCCAATTCTGTTTGATATCTGACCTCCATCCGCACTATATGTACGGTATTATAAGCTACATCATTGTCCTCCTATTACTCCACTTGATCTTCTTTACGAGTGTTGCTGAGCTATAAGGTTGAATAGGTAAGTATGAGTTCGCTTACAATGACCGACTCTGGCAAAGCATCAGACATATCGTTTTACGTTCACGTGGGTTAACGTGTTGAGTAGATGGGCGTTTAATCGTTCTCTCGGACAATCTGAAACATTTCCCAATTCTTCGGTGCAGTGAGGAAAC